TGGCTGCAGGCTTTGCCTTCGGGAAGCAGCTGTAAAACGCACGAGTTCTGCTCAAGCAGAGCAGCACGGTGCTAACCCGATGTGAGGGAGCTCTGGAATCAGTGCCAACTCCTTGTCATAGAAGTAGAGGCTCATCCGTGTGCCTGTGGGGCTGCAGGCAGATAGTTCATCCTCTGGGTCCCCCAGGAGGGGCTTTTTGAGATTTGGGTCTTGGGTCACAAAATTTCATCTGGTAGCAAAGAGGCCATTAAAGGGATGCTCGCTGAATATGGCAACAGCTAAAATTGCTGGTTTTTCTAACTAAATTTTTAACTAATTTCTAACTAAACTTTATATAATCTCTTAACTCAACTAGTTCTACACACAGAACAGATTTTTAAACCATGTCTGCACGTGCATGCCCAGGCCAGAGGGACCCTTCCAGCATATGTATCTTTTAGGGTAAATTTTGGGGGCCTTATTTTATAATTATGTCTCTTCCCTGCTGCTGCCCAGGTTTGCTGTGAGTGTTGGCTACTGGAAGGACCCTTACATCCAGTATTTTGTGAGACAAGCCAAAGAAAGGAAGGCACCTGAGATCAACAGAGGCAAGTTGGAACGGGGATGGGGACACCTCACCTGTCCTGACAGAACCCCTGCACCCTGGGAGTTGGGGGGCAGGGAACATGTGAAAGAGTGAGACAAGGTTTCTTCACAGCAGTAATTCCATGCTGTATCTGATCTTTTAAATATCAGTCTGTGAGTCAAAACTCTCTTCCTTTGCTTTCTGAGTTCTGAATGGGCTGTGCCAGTGCAAAGATCTCCTCAAAGCAGTCAGAAATGTTGGTTTGACCCAGGACAGTTGGCTCTCTGCAAGTGCAGAATTATTCTGCTCTGCTTGAGGTGGAACTTGACTAAAACTTTTGTTTGCCCAAGGAGTTGGGTTTTATAAGTGCACGGAGGTTTGTAATTAAAAAAGACAAACAAAAGCCCTAAGGTACCTTAAAAAGAGGGCATTATTCTTCCTGCAGACTGCCTAGGGATCTTCATGAGAGTTCAGCACAGAGAGCTGTGTGCCAGGGGTGACTCCCAGCTCTGTGTGTGCTGCAGGTTACTATGCTCGTGTGCACGGGGTCAGTTACCTGATCAAGGCTTTCCTGGAGAAGACAGAATGCAACTGTCAGATTGTGAATCTTGGGGCTGGCATGGACACCCTGTTCTGGAGGCTGAAGGTAACGAGGCTGCAGGGCCTGGCCTGGTTGGGACAGGGGGCTGGGGGACTCCTGAGGGGCTGGGGGACCACTGAGGGGCTGCTCTGGGCTCTGCAGGCTGGCTCTGTCCCCCAGGGCAGCACAGCAGCAGCTCTCACACACTCCCACCAGAGCTGGGGTGGGAAGGGACCTCTGGTGACCACCCAGTCCAGCCCCCTGCCCAGGCAGGGTCACCCAGAGCAGGTGACAAAGGAACGTGTCTGGGTGGGTTTGGGATGTCTCCTGAGGGAGACTCCACACCCTCCCTGGGCAGCTGTAAAGAGCTCACTGCAAAGAGCCTCTTCCTCATGTCAACATGGAACTTGCTGTGTTTTAGTTCCTGGGCACTGCTCCCCATCCTGTCACTGAACAGAGTCTGGCACCATCCTCTGACACCCCTGGGAAGGATTTTATGGAGTGATGGGATCCCCTCTCAGCCTTCCCTTCTCCAGACTGAGCAGGCCCAGCTCCTGCAGTCTCTCCTCACTACAGAGATGCTCCAGACCCCAAACCATCTCTGTGGCCTCTGCTGGACCCTCTCCAGCAGCTCCTTGTCTTTCCTGGGGATCAGGACTGGACCCTGCAGCTCTCCAGGGGTGGGTGCAGGGGAAGGATCACTCCCTCTCCCTGCCACACTTTCCCCACGTCCCTGGGATTCCAGTTGTGAGTTTATTTATGTAAATCATGGAATCACAGAGTGGTTTGGATTGGAATGGATCTGGAAAATCATCCAGTGCCACCTCTGCCATGTCAGGGACACCTTCCTCTGTCCCAGGCTGTCCAAGCTCTGTCCAGCCTGGCCTTGGGCACTGCCAGGGATCCAGGGGCAGCCACAGCTGCTCTGGGCACCCTGTGCCATATATAGGAGTGTTTGTGTGTGTGTAATTCATGGAAACTAATTTATTCAGGTGTTGTGTGATGGTATCATTCTGGGTGAACACACCTCTGAGTGAATTGTCTTCTCATTAGCATTTACTTTGGTAAATTTGAGTTCTAGAGGGAAGCCTGAGGAGCATTTTGCTTGGTCACAATTTATTGTATTCATTTACTCAGTGGAAAAGAGACAATATTATTTTGGTTTTTTTTTTCCTGAGATGTGAAGTTTTTCTCTTACCTGCATTTCTATAAAAGCTGTGTCAATATAATGTTTTGGTAACAGTGATTTTAAAAGCTGAATTGGGGCCTGTAATTCCAGTTCTTTGTCCTTGCAGAGAGCAGGTGTGCTGTAATGAATGTGCAGAAGCTGGGAGGCAGTTACTGGAGTGCTCTGAGTGCTGGGTTCATCTCAGAAAGGCACGGGTTGACAGCCAGCACGGGCAGCAGCATCCATCACAAAGGGACTGCTGCGAGGGGAGACTTGGCACAGCTTCTCCAGCAGGCTGGGCAACGGTGCCAGCGTGGAATGAAGAGCTTTCCCCTCTTTTGTAGTGCTGGCAGGCTGGCTGTGCTCTGGCTGTGGCTGGAGGAGAGCTGGAACGTGGTCAGTGTCTGGGTGAGCCTGTGCAAACCCTCCCTGCTCCTTCCCTGGGAGGGCTGAAAGTCCTGCTGGATGCTGTGGCAGCTTGCTGTGCTTTGCCTTCCCCCAGAACACGTGGCTGCAGTGTGTGTGTCACTGATCTCCTCTGGGGTTAGAGTCCTTCTCCTCTCAGGTGACACCCAACCCACCTGGGCACGTTCCTGTCACCTGCTCTGGGTGACCCTGCTGGGCAGGGCTTGGGCTGGGTGATCACCAGGGCTCCCTTCCAACCCAGCTGTGCTGGGCTTCTGTGATTGCATTAAAAAAAAAAGTGTTCAATAGTTCCTTCAGTTCTCAGAGGGCACTCTAGCATCTCTCAGCTGGTTTTTGTTGGATTTTAGGGGTTTAAGCTGTGGGACACTCTTACACCACTGTTACAAATGGCAGTGTAAGCCAAAGCACAACTGCTCAGGATTTTGCTTCTGTCTTGCCCTGTGCACATGAAACTTGAGTGTCCCTAATTCTAGTATCTTCCTGCAATTCCCAGGATGAAAACCTTCTCCCTAGGAAATATTTTGAAGTGGATTTTCCAATGATCGTTGCAAGAAAAATCCATAATATCAAGTAAGTGTGAGGCCTGTGTTCAGCTGTGGAGACTGGCTGCCAGTCTTTCATCTCTGCTGAGAAACTCTTTGTGTTCTGGGATGTGAGGGTGGGCAGGCCCTGGCACAGGGTGCCCAGAGCAGCTGTGGCTGCCCCTGGATCCCTGGCAGTGCCCAAGGCCGGGCTGGACAGGGCTTGGACAGCCTGGGACAGTGGGAGGTGTCCCTGCCATGGCAGGGGTGGCACTGGAGGGGCTTTGGGGTTATTTCCCAAGCTGTGCCAGGATTGTGAAAAGCAGAGTAAAGGCTCATTGTGCAGGCAGGCTCTGGCCCAGGCTGCAGAAGGGGATTTGTGAAAGCTTCAGGGAGCCAAGCAGAGCTTGCTGTGTGGCAGGGACAGTGTCCTGACAATTAGAGGTGATGAAATCTTCTCTTGCTGTTGAGGACAGCGCTGAATTCCCAGATGTGCCTGTTCACTTGGAGGCAGGACAGCTGCTGCTGTGTGGGAATGTCCTGTTGGAATGAATCCACCAAGGGTTATTGAGGACATGTTACAGAGTGCCTGGATTTCTCTTGAAAGATTCTCTCGGAGTTAAAGAAATTGTGTATAAAACTCAGCTCCAACTTCACCAGACTTGCAAAGGTTTTCTTTTCCAGCAGAGGGCAGAGATATTCCCTCAGCTGCTTTTGGCACACACAGACACACACATATATATATATATATATATATGTTAAGAAAAAAACTGTAAGCACACTGTTCAACAGGCTTAACTGCTCTGAGATGCTTCTTCCTTCTTCCCACAGATCAAAACCTCCCCTGTCAAAACCAATTATGGAATCTCATTCAGGGGACTCTCTTCTAATAGGTGAGTCATCTTCAAACTCAGTCAGTGATGTACTGCAGCACTTTTAAAACTTTTCTGATCATTTTGTTCTGCTATGTGGGCAGGCTTTTAATGTTTGAAATGCTGTTTGGACAGAGAATTGGGAGGGAAAAAGAGGCTTTTTTCTTCTCTTACAGACTCCTGCCCATTTGTTCTGTGTCATGTTAGAAATGTCTTCTCTTTAAGTGGTTTTATTCTGGCAGAAAGTTATTGGGTTTTTTCTTTTTCTCTCATATGTAGCTCCTTTTCTGTCACAGGAAAGGAAAAAGTGCTACAGAGAGGCATGGATACTGGATTAAAATATCTGTTGAATGTTTATCTGCTTTCTGTCTAATTAAGAGCACAAATCTTTCCATTTAGCAGAGTTTTCACAGCAGAAACACAGCCTGCACAGTCCAGGCTCGTGAGCCAGTGCTTGCTGTTTGTTACGTTTTAGCATGAAAAGGACAATCATTTCAGGTGCTGGGATGTGGCAGTGCTCTCGTGGTTTCTAAGCTCATCAGGGAACAGAAGGCTGTGGTTCCCATCCCTGGCAGTGCCCAGGGCCAGGCTGGACAGGGCTGGGAGCAGCCTGGGGCAGGGGAAGGTGTCCCTGCCATGGCAGGGCTGGCACTGGATGATCTCTAAGGTCCCTCCCAGCCCAAGGCATTCTATAATAGTGTGTTTGTCAGAGCTGCACTTGAAAACCTTTTTACCTGTGGAAAGTTCCCTGGGTTCCATTGAGTTCATGTTCCCAGTGCAGGTGCTGAGCTGCAGCAGCTGCCTGGGACAATTCAGGGGGCAGCAGTTCCCTGCAGCCAGCCCAGCAGCTGCTCTGTGTGAGGGACAGAGACCCTGGCAGAGCTGCAGTGCCTGCTGCTCCCTGCTCTGACCACCTGTGGCCCTGCCCCAGGCACAGCTCTAGCCCAGGCTATGGCCATTCTGCAGATTTTATTCTGCTCATTATTGGTCTTCCCAGCCCTGCAGATTCCTCCCCTGGACCCTCAGGCCTCCAAAGATGAAGGCCCAGAGCAGAAGAAGGGCTCCTGGGGACCCCTGGCTTGCAGGCACGGGGCACATCTGGCCCCAGGGAGATCTGCTGCACCGTCAGTGTCCAGAGGCAGCCCAGGGTCCGTGCCAGGGGCTGGGTTTGTGTTCCTGAAGAGCTGCAGGTACCTCTGAAACTGCAGAACACCTGCAGAGCTGTCAGCCTGCACTGCTCTCACCTGGGGCTGTTAACAGCCACCTCCCCCTGCCCTGGGCTGTGCTGCTGGGACAGGTTTCTCTGGAGCTGCTTCTCTGCTTCCTTCTCAGGGCTGGCTCTCAGAGCTTCAGAGTCACAGGCTGCTCTAGGCTCTGCTGCACCGAGATCTTCAGGATGCAGCAGTGTCCAGGACTGGGGAGATGCTGTGGAAGTCCAGGTTGAGCTGACTGAGATCTCTGGGATGCAGCAGCATCCAGGACTGGGGAGATGTGGAGGTGCTGTGGAAGTCCAGGTTGAGCTGACCCCAGCCAGAGCCCTGAGAACTCTGGTTTATGATCAGTTAAGGGAAGTGCCAGCAGGAGAGGTGCTGGAATAAGTGGATAAATCAAACAGATGAGCAGAAAGTTCTTACAGGTCTGAAGGGACTTGGCAAGGAATTGACTCAGCTGCTGGCTGGTCTGTGCCTCTCATTTAAAGCTGAGGTTGTGGCTGTGCCTCAGATGGGCTCCAGGGCAAGTCCAGGGGACCCCAAGGCAGCAGGACTGATGTCTGTAGTGAACAGCTCGCAGGAACTCCAGCAGACAGGCTCAGTGGAACCCAGGAATCCTAGGATGTGCTGAGAAAGAGTCCCTGTGGCTTTTGGAAAGGTAAGTTGTGCTTCCCAGCTCTGTTGGAGTCTTTAAGTCAACACAGCCATTGGAAAAGGACATCAGCCCAGTGCTTGGATTCCAAGAACGTGTTCTGTCTGTGTCCCGTGCCAAAGTGTGCCAAAGAAGTGGCACAGTGGTTGTGAGGAAGGAATGGTTCTCATATGGATGAGGAGCTGGGATGGAGGGCGAGCATATGTTGTTCATTTTTGTTATGGAGGAGATGGAGATCTGTGCTTGAGGGTATGTTGTTGTTCAACACCAAGAAAAAATTGGGAAAATAGTGATTAGTAAGTGGCAGCTTGTTGGCAAATCCAAACTCTGAAGAGTGGTAAAGAACTGCAGAAGTATCTTGTGAAATTAGTGACTTGATGATGATTTCAATGTGGATTAATAGAAAGTGATGCACATGGGGGGAAAAACAGTTTGTGCCTCACATGTAAATGATTATTGCTGCCTTCCTGCAGGATCTGGGTATTAGAATAAATAGATGGATGAAAGCATGAGCTCAGTAATCGTCCAGAAATACAAAGCAATTTTAAGTACTTTTGAGAAAAAGCTAGAAAACAACTTAGGTGCCATTGTTAGTGTCTGTTTCCTCTCTTTGACTTTTCCCTTTGGAGCTGCTGCTGGCCTCTGGAAGGCTGGGTATCATCCTAGGGAGGCCTCTGGTCTGACCTGGTACAGGTGTTAGACCCTGCAGTATTCTGGGATTCCCACCTGGCGTGGAGCAGCATTGCCAGGCAGGGAAATGTTACTCATTTCTATGGGGCTGTGGGCCAGGATTTTGGAATCCTGTCCCTCCCCTGTGCCTGCCTCCCCACATCAGTCACCCTCCTGGCTCTGGTGCACCAGGGATGATTTGTTTAGGTTGTTTGGAGCTTTGGGTCGAGTTGTGCTGGTGTGGGTTGGCACCGTTCAGGTCCTCTCTGTGCAGTTCTGCTGCCCCTGAGCGTTGTCATGCTGAGTGTTCCTTCCTGTGCCTCTCACACCTTCTGCCCTGGCTGGGCCAGCTTGGGCACAGCTTCCCTCCATCCCCAGACCTTCTCTCCCCAGGGTGGGTGTCAGGGGGATTGCAGGGCTGAGCCTGGCCTTCCAGGAGAGGCTGAGAGTGTGGCAGTGCTGCTGGGCTGGGGGAGAGCAGCGTGCAGAGCAGGCTGCTGCTGTGTAAAGCTGCCAGAGATACCTTAGCAGGAAAACCCTAATGAAATCTCTTGGAGTCAATAGTATCCTGCATGCTGTCTCTTGGAAAACCTCCAGGAAATTGTTGCACTAATGTGAGAAGAGAGGAAGAGAAGGAGGCTGAGTTGCTGTGGCAGAGGGAGAGCTCGGGGTGCTCGAGCTGCAGAGCTGCCCCAGCAGCTGCCTCAGGGCACAGCACAGCAGCACTTCTGACACAGCTGGGAGGACAAAACTCAGCCTGCTCAGGTCAGAAGGCAGCTATTAGCAGCTCCTGCTACTACTCAGTTACTACAAGCTTGTCTTGTTCCATGCCTGTGGAATCTGAAGCTGTGTGCCAGAGTCATGGCAAATAACCACACAGGGGTGTGCCAGAGCAGAGCACTCTCTGCTGATTATCCCTGGAGAGCTGAACCTGTGCCCAGGCCAGGACAGCCTGTCTGGGGTAGGTGGGGTGGGGGGATCATACTTCCCCCCTTCTCCATCCCCTCCCTTGTATTTCTCAAATTAAATCAGAGTTTGCTGTTTCCCAAACCTTCATTCAATCAGTACAGAGAGAATCTCTGCAGATGGCTGAGTGTGAGCATCACAGATCCCCAGGGCAGCTCTAGAGGAGGACACCCAACCAAACAGCCTCACTAAAAACAGCATGAGGTGATGGTGCCACACACAAGGAATTAGTGCCTGGAATCTGGGATTTGCAGTGGTTTAAGCCACCAAATGTCCCTGGCTGTGGCAGCATCAGGGCAGCTGGCCTGAGTCACAGCACTGCAGCAGGAATGAGCAGAGGGGTTTGCACATACACACCAAATCAATTCAGTTAAAACAAGCTCCTGTTCCTCAGAAGGAATCAATGGGGGCACGTGACCGTGCTGCCAAGCTGGAACTCTGTTTTCCTTTTCCAGCTGCCCTGAGGATGGGCAGGAATTGTAAAATCCATCTGCAGCAAGGCTGCTCAGTCTTGGGCAGCAGATTGCTCACTTCATACCTCACAGAATACCCTGAGAGGGGAGGGACCCTCAGGGCACATCCCAGTGCAGCCCTGGCCCTGCACAGCACAGCCCCAAGAACCTCCAGCTCTGCAGGAAGGCAGGAGCTGGTGCCAGACTGTCCCAGCAGCTTTTGGGATGTTTGTGGATGGATTTGTGGCCTCCAGGCTGGGGACAGTGGCAGTTGTCCCCAGCTGCCACTGTCTTGCCATCAGTGTGTGTTTGTTCCCTAAGGGGGAGGTGATGGAGCAGTTGAAGTTTGCCTGATTAAGTATGATCAGACTGAAAAGGGGAAATTTAGATGAGATACTGAGAATTCCTTCCCTGGGAGGGTGGGGAGACCCTGGCACAGATTCCCAGGGAAGTGTGGATCCCTGGAAGCGTTCAAGGCCAGGCTGGAGCAGCCTGGGATGGTGGAAGGTGTCCCTGCCCATGACAGGGGTGGCACTGGATGGTCTCCATGGTCCCTCCCAACCCAAACCAGTTCAGGGTTTTACGATAAAAATGCTCAAATCAATGCGGTTTGAGCAAGGCACGTTTACTTCCACCTCGGAGTGGATGTGCTCCTTGTCTCCTGGATCACTTAAAAAGTTTTGTGGTTTATTTCTGGCTTGTATTTGTGCTCTTCATTGATGCATTTGTGTGACCCAGCCTCCGAAGCTGGACAGGGAGCTGGCATTCATTCCCTACTAATTGTGGTGGCTGACGCTCGCTGTGCCGTATCCATGGACAGAAACCAGTCCCTATTTAAACACTTCCCTGTGTGTGGTGGGGTTTTTGGGTGGCTTTTTTTGATGCCATTATCATGGCCTTGATGTAATCACTTAAATAGAAGGGTGTGGGAAGTAGTAAAGCTATTACAGAACATGCACATGGAAAAAGCCTTGACTCAAAATGTTGAATCATTCAACACGCCGCACAACTTTTTTTTTTTTCTCTTTTCTTCCCTTGTAACTCTCTTTCTGAACTGTTTCTGATTCCTGGATCTGCTCCCGAGTGTTGCTGGAATGGCAGCTACTTTCCTTGCTCTTGCAGGGAGGTGGTCACTTGAAAACTGAACAGGGGTGCATCCTCTGGGGTGTTTGATCACTGCTTGCTGGAATAAATGGAAAACCCACACTTGTCCCCAGCTGTTTTGTTCCCCTCTCCTGAAATGGAAACCCCTGAAATGGAATCCTGCCCCTTCAGCTCACTCCAGCTGTGCCAGGGGAGGCTCAAGCTGGACATCAGGAGGAATTTCTCCATGGAAAGGGTGGCCAGGCTCTGGAAAGAGCTGCCCAGGGAGCTCTGGAGTCCCCTGCAGAGCCATCCCAGTATTCCTGCAGGACTCTGGCTCTGGGTGGGTTTGATGGAGCACTTGGGAAGTGCCTCCTGTGGGCTCCTCTGCGTGCACTCAGTGCTGCTGGGGGTGAATCACCGATAGCAGGAGGCTCTGCTGCTTCCTCCCAGCTGAGCCAGGATGGCAGGGGCTCCTTGGACTCTGGCATTTGTCCCTCCTTCGTGTGGGGAGCATCCACAGGATCCTGTCGTGGCCCAGGGGAATAGCAACAAAATCAGAATGCCTTCTGTGATTTGACTCTTTCCTTTAATACCACCACTAAATCATACCAAAAGGCTAAATGATAACTTTTGTTGGCCCCAGGTCTATGGCTGCTCCCCATATTTATTATATAACTACATATACAGTTAATTTATATAGCTATATATAGAAATATTGCCACTTAGTTTTTCAGAAATCAATGGACTTTTACGCAGTTCCTATGTACATCCATTGGGCCATCTAAGAAGACTCTCCAAACAAAACAAAAATCCTGCCTCTAATCTTGCCATTTTTCTTCTCTCTGCATTCCTGGAAACCATGGTAACAGCTGGGCTAACCTCTCTCCTTCAGCGTGGCTGCAGAGGGAGGGGAGGCTCAGCGCAGGGTCTGCTGCTGATGGAGCACTGGGAAACACAGCTAGGAGGGGATTCATGTTTTCAGAAGAGGAGTTTGCTGCTCACAGTTTGCCATCACAGACCAAACTTGGGCTCCCAACTGAAGTGCTCCCGTGCAGCGTTTTTGATCCACAGCTCCACATCCCTCTCACATCCCTGTAACACTCCTCTCTCCCACTTTGCCTTGCAGATTCCCACAGCCTGGACTCCAGTCGCTACTCCATAGTGGGAGCAGACCTGCGCTTCTCCTCAGAGCTGGAGGAAAAGCTAAGGAAGCACAGCTTGGATGTGCAGTAAGGGCACAGAGCTTTAGTTGGCTCTTTGTGGGGTTTTAATGGGGCTTGTGGAAGCCTTTGTCCAGGGCTGGGAGCTGGCACAGTGGGAAGTGTCCCTGCCATGGCAGGGTGGCACTGGGATCTCTGTGATCCAACCCAAACCATTCCAGGGTTCTGTGATCTCAGAGTTTTATCTCTGTAATTATTTTCTGTAGCCTCCTCTTAAACCCTTTTTGTTCCTAAACCTTTTGGTGGGGCTGCAGTGGAGTCCTTGGGATCCGAGTCCCAAAGCTCCTCCGGGATTTTCTGGTTCAACACGAGGCTTTGGGGGGGCAGGAGTTGAGTTTTTGAGTGGATGATGGACAGACCTTTCAGATGGAAGCAATATAAATAGCAGCGATCTGGCTGGGTGGGAGAGAGCATATGGGGAAGCAGAATGCATCAAATTGCCATTTAATTCTTTACACTTCCATCCTCTGAAATGCTGCCTTGCTTGCCTACATTGCTGCTCCTTGTGGAATTTCTCCTGCTTCTAGTGACTTTTTTCCCCCTTTCATTCCAGCAATTAAAAGCAAACTCAATAATTGTGAAGAAAATCACTTGTGTAGATGTCTATTTTTGTTGATTTGTGGATGGAGGGGGAAGAGGCAACGTGCAAACTATAGATTACATTTTGTTAGATAATAATATGTGAAGATTGTTTTACAGATACTGAACAAATTTGTCTAATTAAAATTCTTCCTTGAACTTCATTTAAAGAGAAAACTTTTTTTTTTTTTTCTGTTTGTAATTAATGCCTGATTTCACTGATCTCTGCAAGAGTGTGAACTGTGTGTACAGGGCACAGTTGTCCTGCAAAGGGAATTTTAACACACCCCAGATCCTGCTGTCAGAGAGGACTTACAGAATGCACAGTGTTCTGTGCTCAGGGCTGACTTTTGGGGAGATTGATCCCTAAAATCTCTGGTTCACAACCACAGGAGTCTCCTGTGGTTCATTAATTCACAGCTGCCAGAAAGCCCAGTTTGAGTCAATGTGATGAAGATATTTCATTCAATCTTCAGTGTCTAGTTGATAAAAGATGGAGCTCTTTCAGGAAATTGTGCAGACATGAAGTGACTTGCTTGCTCACAATCCTTAGCACGTTTTTCTTGTTCTTTTGCTGGAAATCATGTTCTCCTTTGCTTTTGTTTTACAGTTTGCCAACGCTGCTGGTGGCTGAGTGTGTGCTGGTTTACATGACCCCCCAGCAGTCTGCAAATCTGCTCAAGTGGGCAGCAAACACCTTCCCCGTGGCCATGGTTATCAATTATGAGCAGGTAGAACCAAAGGGGCATTTTTAGACCTGCATTGTTGTCATTAAAATTGCTCTCGTAGGTGGGAGTTGTTGAGGAATGAGAGTGGGCCCTGTCCTTTTGTGGAAACAGCAGTTTCTGCTGAATTTCTGTAGTAATGTGTTTTAACTTGTAGCTTGGTTAGCTCATTGTAGAGAAAATGCAGCTATTCTGAAAGACAATTTCTGGACTATGTTGAAGCAAAATAATTGAGACTTAATCCATACGTGGAAAAGACCATAGAATATTGATTTAGCTAAAGGCAGAGGGAAAAGAAATGATGCTGAGTGCTGGCTCTGGGTGTATAACATTACATAATTACCTCTGTGTTCTTTGGCAAAGTGGAGCAAAAATCACATCAGCATGAACTCTGTTTCTCCCTGTGGAAGTAAAACACTGCCTCGGGGGAACTAGGTGGCTCCAGGAATTAGTATCAGGATTTTCCAAGCCTTAAATCAGTGCTGGAGAGCTGAAGCAGAGGCAGCAGTGCTGCCAGCCCCATGTCCCTGGGGACAGTGGCACTGTCCTCCTGGCACTGGGGTGCTCCTGGCTAGTGAGAGCTGCTGTGCCACTCACTGGCACCCTGTGCATTTGTGATGTAGCCTGTGCCAGGCACATTCTTCTCTCTCAGGATTTTCCATAGAGGAGCACAGAGAGAAGAAAAACAATTCCTATTTCTGCTCCTTATTTTCCCATGTGGAATGTGTTTGGAGAATTGTTTACCTGGGGTGATGCTTGGTTGGATTCTGGTGAGGATTGTTTGAGCCTGGTGGCCAATCCAACCCACCTGGCTCTGGCGGGAGGGTCATGAGTTGTGAGTGAGTTAGATATGGGAGTTAGAAAAGTAGGTTTGTAGTTTTAGTATCTCCTTTAAATAGTATATTAATGTGTTATAGTATAGTTACAATAAGGAAATCATTCACCCTTCTGAGCTGGAGTCAGACACCAGCATTTCTCTCCCCCAGCTTCAGCTGCATTTCCATAGTGATCAGGGGCAGGGTTCAGGCAGGCTCTGTGTGGGAAGGGAAGGGAAGGGAACACTCCTGTGTGCTCCTGTCCCCAGGTGAACATGCGGGACCGCTTTGGGCAGATCATGATCGAGAACCTGCAGCGCCGGCAGTGCAACCTGGCCGGGGTGGAGCTCTGCAGCTCCCTGGACTCCCAGGTGAGGGCACAGGGCTGGCACTGAGCTTTGTCAGCCTGGCTGCGAGCTCTGCCTGTGGGACCAGGGCAGCTGGGGCAGGCACTGAGCCCTTTGCTGGCCACGTTACCCTGGAATTGGGGCACGCTTTGGTTTGGAAGGGACTGTGGAGCTCATCCAGTGCCACCCCTGCCATGGCAGGGACACCTCCCACTGTCCCAGGCTGCTCCAAGCCCTGTCCAGCCTGGCCTGGGACACTGCCAGGATCCAGGGGCAGCCCCAGCTGCTCTGGGAACTATATCCCAGCCCCTGTCACCCTCCCAGGTAACAATTCCTGCCCAATCTCCCATCCAGCCCTGCCCTCTGGCAGTGGGAGCCATTCCCTGTGCCCTGTCCCTCCATCCCTTGTAAACAGTCTCTCTCCATGTATCTTGTTGGCTCCTTCAGGTCCTGGCAGGCCACAGTTAGGTGAGCCCAGAGCTTCTCTTTGATAGCTGAGTGTCAGTGGTTGCACAAAGCTCCTGGTCAGAGCCCAGCCCCGCCTGGCCCTGCAGAGATCAGCAGCACGTGCTTAGGGATGAGTCTGGGAGCTCTGCAGGACAGGTCAATCAGCTGCCCCGTGAGCTCCTCAGGGGGAGAAGCTCTCTCTGGGGCTTCCCCTGGAGTGCTGTGAGAGCTGTGCTGTCTGTGTTTTGCAGAGGGAGCGGCTGCTGGCCGGCGGCTGGGAGAACGCCCGTGCCATCGACATGATGAAGGTGTACAGCTTCCTGCCACAGGCTGACGTCAGGAGGTATCCCTTGTGCAGCCCAGAGTCACCCTCGGGTGCCATCCAAGCTCCTTCCCGTGCACTTGTAGCCTGGCATCCCCTGGTGTGAGAGAGGAGGCTGCCCCAGTGCTGCCCAGGGGTCAGAGCACTCCTGGACCTGCAGCCCTGCAGCCCTGCAGCCCTGCAGGATAATGCCTGCACTGAGCACCCAGGGCTGAACGCTGCCAGAGCAGGCTGCGAGTAGTCATGGCTGATTTGGCTGGGACAGAAGGCATCTCATGACAGAAATTTGGGAGATGCCACAGGAATGCTGTGTTGACTTTTTGCAGTCCCCAAGATGTTCCTTGTGAAGATTTTGGCTGGGGTTAAACCACAACCCATTGAAATGATGAGGGGGAGACTGCTGGGTCTGCAGATCTCAGAGCAGGGACTAAAGGCTGTTTAGCAGTCACTAATCTGCCTGGATTTTGTTCGTATTTCTGCATTAAATGCTAAACAGTGGGAAATTTTAAGGAGTAACTTCTTAGGGATATAATGTGAAATGTGAATTGCTGTGAGTCATTCATAGTTGGAATTAGCTGAGCAAGTTACCTTAGTCAAAATATTCACCTATAGGGGTTTCTCAAAGCCTGGAACTGAACAGGTGAGAGTGGAACTCAGAGGTGGTTTAAATAGGAACAAGGATGTGTGGTGCGACCATATGGCACTGGTGGAGACACAGAGCTCGTGCTTTCTCTGCAGCATTTTTGGCTACCTTGGATCTGTTCAGCTCCTTGCACTTGTTCCACATGCCAGGAAATAGGGTTATGTAAACTCTGTCCTCTAGTAGCAGTGAGGCAAATGCTTTTTCTTTAGAAAAGTCTTTCCCAGAGTGCTCCTCTGCAGCACTTCACACCTGGGAGTGCATTTAGGAACTTTTGCCCCTCAGACCCTCAGCAGCAGCCCTGGTGTTTGTGAGGGGTTACACAGATGAGTCTGGAACAGGGAATTCCAGGGATGAGGAGCTGGAAGCACCCAGTGTGTCACTTGTTCCATGCATTGACGGGGTGGGACCAGTGGTGGCATCATGGACAACCCCTGTAATTATTCCCTGGAGAGGTAACTGCCTCTCTGGCCATAGCTTTCACTCCCATGGAATGAAAATTCAGTAAAAATTCTGCTGAGAGTCCAGCTCAAATCCCAACCTTTATTTTATTCCTACAGAATAGAAGCCCTTGAATTCCTGGATGAAAAGGAACTGTTTGAACAGCTGATGCAGCACTACTGCATCTGCTGGGCTTCCAAGGACAGCAGCAACCTGGGTAAGGTTCTGCAGCACCTGGGGGTGATCCTGCCATGGAAATGTGCCGAGGGAGGGCTGGGGTGGGATGGTACAGCAGGTCCCTCACAGGGCTGGGTGGGTGTTACACCAGGTACCTCACAGGGCTGGGGTGGCTGTTACACCAGGTACCCCAGAGCCCC